GAATATATTAATTTTGAAGGGGCCAAAAGATTCAAAAAATTAAGTAAGGAATCGAAAACCAGTAACGATTCCCGCATAGCGTCGGAATGTGGCACGTAACGTCCTTGTTGGTCCGTAGCACAACGCCCTTCATTTGACCATATGAAAAAAGTAGAGTGGTAGAGACCGTTTTGATATATTTTTCAATCAGAAATTATTTCAGAGATCAGTCTCCACATCGACGTCGAGAGAAACTTTTTCACACTCTCATCTTCTCCATCGCTACGTTCTTCGTGTCGGTGTTGGGTCAAACCTATATAGAAATCGCGGTATTTTGGGTGGACGATCGGGAAGAAGTAGCGAATCTATCGAAATGGTGAGTGCTTACAAAACAAAAATTTGTCCCAAAGAGCTATGTATTTCCCTTGAGTTTCATGGAGCACGGGTTGCGGGTCAACAGGGCTAGACAGCGACGGAGCGTCGAACGTGACGTTCGCATTCAGCACTTCCTGATTGATGTGGCGCAAAATTACTACAATAGGCTGAGTCAACTAGCTAGGAAGTACCGCATGGGCAGAGGTAGATTCCGCGTGTTGCCGCAGTAAGCATCTCTCGACCCGGACCAATACCTCGCATTATCTCTCTCACTCCGTTTCGGTTATTTTGTTGTGTTTTTCACGACTTCTTGATGTGACTACACAACCGATTAGTTATGAGCAGAAAACTCGACCCCAGGCGGGACTTGAACCCGCACCACGCCTCCCGGGCTATCCATTGCGCTGTCCATTAAGCCGTGAGGTTGCCTCTTACCCTGCCAAATTGACAGCTTTTCTGCCGTAGCACCGAGACCTTTGCTTACAGCGGCCAGAGTCCCGTCTGGGTCGAATTACTTTCCCATATAACTCACTATCTAGTGGCAGCTGTTCCTCGGGGCGCCACCTGCGGCACTAAACATTGGTGACCCATGATAAACTAGTCCACAATTGGCGATGTGAATTTCTTCTTTCAAAGCGCCTGCTCAGGCCATTAAGGGAATTATGAAGTCCTGCTTTCTTTCAACAGATTTCAATTTCCATGTTAAGGTATCACATCGCACGTATAGCCGCATTTGTCGATCCAGTTCTGAATCCACTGATCGTGGTCGCTCGAACTCCTGCTCTCAGACGACAGGTTTGTTAAGAACATACTCCACGCTGATCGTACGAATTCGCCATTGGAGCCTTCTGGAGTGCCTTCCGTCTCTTACGCGCGCTCTTGTTCTTCACCGACTCAGAGACGGAGACTGCGCTCGAATGAAGGGCTGCGAATGTCAAGAACGCGCTTCGCGCTACATCCCCTGAGCCGAGGGATTGCGCCCTGCGCCCTTGTAAAAAGATCAACTTATCTAGGTTTTTCTCTCTTCTAGGTGCGTAGTCTCCTAATCAGCACCTCTTTTCTGGAGAAACGTGGAGATTCTTCCCGGCGAAAAAGAACTGTATAGAAATGTGAAAGCAGATAGCATGAGGCATGGAAAGTTGGCTAGTGGAGACTGGTGAAGTGCGCGTACAAAAGCAAGCGTTCTCTAGAGGGGGGGGGTCTTACAAACGTTTCCTCGAGCTGGAAGACGCTCTGTGACTTGGCCCGTACGATCAGCGTGTAATGCACCTTCAAGCTGCGTAAATCATTCCAATGATATTTCTCGCCATCCATTTTTTTAAGCTTCGAGCTCAGTGGACATCACTTAAATCGCGTGCCTCTTCACGAACCACGAAGTCTCGCCGAAGTGGTAGTGAGAGGGCTTCTGTACGCCGTACTGAATCTCAACGTAATCGATGTGATGTTGAAGTGAAGCTGATTAAGCCGGATCGGCCGGTGAGAATGCTTTACCGTAAGAAGTACGTACAAACTTGTTGTTACTGCCTAAGAGATGGATCTGGGATGAACCACCCCTTAGTCACCGGGTTTCATTCGGTTTCCTTGAGATAGACAAACCCTTCATAAAAATATCTTCTGGGCGGCAGCGGCGATCTGTCTTGGAATGGAAGTACAGGCTCAGTTCGGCTTGGGGAAAAGTAAGAAGGGGGGGGGGGGGAAGAGATTCTGCCCGTTCGCTAATTTCCTTTGCTTGTTCATATTAACTAAGAGGTATCGTTTTGCATAGACATATAAACTCTTGATAAGCTGCGAATAGGTACAATTTAGGCGCTTTTGTGAAGGAATTTGTAGGTCCCTACAAAGTGGCCTGTGGAAGCTTCACCAAGTGCTTCCATATTGGTGCCCCCAAATAGGTGAACCGCGCTTAAGTGCGTTCCACGCTCATCGCAAGGGTGCTCACGCCCCGACGTTCCGAGATGCTCTTCTTATCTAGCGGCCTAAAAATACTTAAATATTTCAATTTGCGAGCTACCTGATCAAGAGCTTTCTCCTCTCTAGCGTTCAAGATCTCATATCGAAACACTCCCCAATAGCCTGGTATGAGAATGTAAGAAGACCTTCGGTGAGCAGGTTACTCGGGAGTATTCCTGGGCATTTTCGGCTTGGAGGGAGCATTTGCACTTTTGTTTGTCTGATGGCTATGCTAGCCACTGCGCCATCACGGCTAGCAGAATACACGCATCGGAAGAAT